AACGACTGGTAATATTCCATCGCTTCCAACTTGTGCATTTCCTATCTGTCTCACGCAGTTACGCAAGAAGAAGCTTCAATGAAAGTTTTGGCGCAAGCATACACTTCACCCAAGCGACACGTCGATCCTTACACTACACACGCACTTACCAGACATACACGTACGGCATACATCCACAAATAGCATAACACACGGTGTTCATGATCGGGCAAGTCGTTACCACATTGCTTATAGACAGTATTACAGAACGAGACCACGTATCCATGCGCAGAGGCGGTTCTCGCGAATGCATAAGGCTCCCGGCAAAGCAAAGACCACGTATAAGTAACCACCGCACGGTAAAGATCCTCACAAGTTAGTGAGGAACTTTAGACCTTTTGTTCCCACCACCTAAACGTCCCCAAAAAAAATGTCCAACACGGCGATTTTATCGCCGTCTATTCATACGTTTTCAGCCAAGTCAAGCCGGTTTTAAGCGGCTATTGGGTGAACCGAACACTTTTGCCTCAAAAAGGTTCGTGCCACCCGGTGGCAGCAGACGCGGCCCGTTGCGCATCGGTGCGCCTTGTAGGAAACAACGCCTGCTAGCTGCATGGCCGAATCAGCATAACCTTGGAAAGCAGACGCGGGAAGCAACAAACAGAAGTTGCTAGCAGTTAAATTCTAGGGCTGCTCACTCGCCGTGATCGTCACCGGATGACTCACTTTCCACTACCGAAGGTATGTCTTTAAGTACGCATCGCTCGTTGAGTGCGGTACCCCCTGCGTTTGACCAGAAAATGTTTTTAGTTGTTGAAGACGCTGCTCATAGTGACAGCGTTGTGTGCATTCTCGCTTTGCTCGAATGCGGGGTTGGCGGCATTACCTGTACTAAAAACGTTTAAAAGGGTGATACCTCGGAAGCTTAAGGTTCGCCTAATTGAATAAAAAAAGTTAATCGTGCTTCACTTAGCCTATGTTGGAGATCTTCCTTTTTGCACTGCGTTGCTAGTGTTTGTTACAGGCAAAGTGCCGCTTTCTTCTCAAACTAGTGGCAAGAATTGGGATTGATTGCGCAGTTCTTCTCAGTGTAATTATAGAGTAGTGGATTTTGTGCCGTCGCGCTGTTTTGCAATCACGGCGATTCAGCGTCCCAATGGTTTACGACTACTAGTTAATCAGCTCTGTGTAAAATAGAGGAGCTCGGTAGTTTTCGGGTACTCGTTCATCTAATCGGCAACACCTGACTGTCTGGCCTTTCAAATAATTCTGCGAGCACTTATACCAATAATTTGCATGTCTGCATTGACAGCCACGACAACTTTCAATTGTGTGAGCTGCGGAAGATAATGGTTCGCCCATAATTACCCAAAGGGACAACTAAAGAAATGTTTAATGTCCCATGTTTAACAAATTTATTGAGTGCCTTGGACTTGCTAATGATTGTGCTCACCGAAACTAGATATAAATTTAGAAGTGCTGTACGTCATAATGGGAGAAAATTCTGGACACCTAAAACATGATGCTCTTTCTGTGTCATTCTTATATATTGCGGTGTTTTTGGCTTCTAGAATTTTCCCTCATCAAGCCTGAATTAGACTGTGTAGCACGGATCAGTTATTGTCTATGACAATCGAGAGTGGACTTAGTTGTAATGAAAAGTAACTGCGTGATTATAAAGGAGCACTTTTCATGAAATGTAATGAAAGTGCATTCACCAATGAACTTTTAGCTGTGTCTGACATGGAGAAGAGCCAGGGGCGTTCAAAACAGCATGATCAAATTGAGGTAGTTACTGTGGCACTCCTCAGAATTATCCAGCATGAAAACACTTTATTTAGTAAGCGGCGCAATACCTGTCTGACCCCTTAATGTGTCTTTTCATGCGGTGCTGGTTTTTTTCCCCACTGATATCTGAAATGCTGGTTGCCCACACAAGACAATGCCTAACATTTCACTAAACGTTTGTGCTGGCGAGACCTCCATTTTTGTACTATGATCTGTTGATGAATTGTTTATTACTTAGATCATTGTATTTGCTTAATAGTTTTTTCAGGTTATCAATGACATATGCATTTGTAAAAAGATACTTGTATACACATGAAGAAAAGTGTAAAGCTAAGGGCTCGTTTTTAATATTTTTTTTGCATAATAGCAATGAGAACTAACAGACAATGATGCCAAGGAAAGTACGAGGTCAGTTATAAAAGTATCTGACCTTCGGTGGAAAAAAAAGAAAACTGGCATAATTTGAGCTTTGGAAATCTAATTCTCCACAATGTAGTCCCCTTGGGTCTCCACACACTTCTCCCAGTGGTGCTGCCACTGTTGGAAGTATTCTGAGAAGGCTTCTTTCGTAATGGAGCTCAGCTGTCGATGCAGGCATAATGTCCTACCTTGTCTGAAATCACTCTCCTCTCAACGTCCTCTTGAGTTTGGGGAACAGCCAGAAGTCTGCTTGTGAAATACACAGCTACAGGAGTCTCACTTTTCGCCAAAAAAGTCTGAACCAAATGTGAAGAATGTGCAGGAGCATTATCGTTATGGATGCGCCAGTTTCCTGTTGACCAGAACTCAGGTTTTTTGTGCTGCACAGCATCACATAGGCGACGGAGGACATCCCTGTGGTACTCTTTGGTGATTGTTCGACCCTATGGTGCGCACTCGTGGTGTACTACACCGTGGAAGTCAAAGAAAGCACTCAGCCTCACTTTGACGTTGCTGCGCACTTGGCAGGTTTTCTTTGGTCTTGGTGACGTGGAATGCTTCCACTGTGAAGACTGGGATTCGGTTTCCGGGTCGTACCTGTACACCCAAGGCTTGTCACTGGTGATAATGGTCTTCATGAAGTTAGGGTCACTGCTTTCGAAATCCAGCATGTCCTGTCAGACTTCGACACGAAGTTGCTTTTTCTCTACCGTGGGCAGTTTCGACACACATTCCACCAGAACTCTTTTCATGGCCAAGTCTTCGGTCATAATGTCATGTGCAGAGAGAATGCTGATGCCCACCTCTTCCACAATTTCCATGATAGTCACACGATGCTCCCACATCACCACAGTGTTCAATTCGGCAATGACCTGATCATTTCGGCATGTTGATAATCGACCGGAGTGTGGCTCACTCTCCACCGATGTACGGCGGTCTCTAAACCGGTTGTACCATCTCTTATTTTGTGTGTGGCTCACAGCGCCGTCACGGCAAGCGATCCTGATCTTCCCAATGGTTTCCACTTGGCTGTGCCCAAGGTTCTGTCAAAATTTGATGCAGTAGCTCTGCTCCAGTCGCTTCGTCATTTTCCTTGAAATGAAAAACTGACAAAAGCACTGCGCACTAGCTGACTCAAACGCTGCGTCTCAGCGACTGACGCTATTGGCAGGTGAGAAAAAATTCACGCATGTGCCCGACAATTCAAGATCGGCTGATGCAAGAGCGCTTGTTTCAAATCCATCAGGTGCTCGCAAAAAATATTTATATATAACTTCGGATACTTTTCTACGACACCCTGATAGGGGACGCTATTAGAAGTAATTTTAATTAAATGGAAAAGAAGGATAGTGGACGAAAATATAACTTCCTGCAGACAGGGACCATCAACATGCCGAAAGGACCAGGTCATTGCCGAAGTGAACGCTTTGGTGATGCAAGACCGTCGTGTGACTATCCGGTAAATCGCAGAAGAGGTGGGCATCAGTACTTTCTCTGCACATTCCATTATGACCGAAGATTTGGCCATGAAAAAAGTTACGCCAAAATTCGTGCAGAAACTGCTCACAGTGCAGCAAAAGCAACTTTGTTTTGAAGTCTCGCATGATATGCTGGATTTCACAAGCAGTGACCCTAACTTCATGAACACCATTATCACCGATGTACGGGTACGACCCAGAAACCAATCTGTGCCTTCAGGTAGTATGCGAGAGATTATTGGTCAGCTGCCAGCTTCTAATAAGTTCACTTGCTACGTGACACCAATAGGCAGAAAATGAGTGTCCCACACTCGCCGGAATGGCAACAGGTGGCACTGACTGACACTTCCTTGTTTAAATGTGCATATGTACCGTATAAAATGGAAAAGTGGATAACTGCCACGGTAGCTCGGTAGGTAGGGCATCAGACGTGTTATTCAAAGGTCGCAAGTTCAGTCCCTGCCCGTGGCAACTTATCTTTTCCTGCACTTTTCTTTTTTCACATTTGCATTACACTTCCTACTAAGAAACCATACCCTACACTTTCCCTGGAAATATTGTTCTCATTAATATTGTGTACAGACTAGGGTGCTAGGTAGTGTGTGAGGGTTTATTGGTCAGCTGGCACCTTGTGCATAGATCATGTGACGCTCTCTGGTCAAAAGAGGGCTCCCCACTCACAGCCTTAGCTATAAGTGGCACTGCCTGGCTGACATTCTTGGGGTTTAAAAACGCCTGAATACACAACAAAGAGAATGATGGCGTGCCCTCCGTTGTAGCTGAATCAGTCGCGCATAGGGCTCACAATTTGGAAGTTTTGGGTTTGGGTTGCAGTGGAAAAAGTGCGCGTTTTCCACTTTCAGTATAGGCCACAATCGTTACCGTAAAAAAGCAAGTCTTCTGGCTTTCCTTGGCTTAATTGTCTCTTGGTTTCATTTGCCCTGTATATGTGTGCTTTAAAGCAATTACGCAAACGACTCGGTTTTTAAATTAACTTTGGCATTGTTCGAGAAAATGTGGGGTTTAGCTTGTTTTTATGCAACTTTAGTTTTTTTAATTTTTATTTATTTAAGGAATACTGCAGACAGTTTTTCACCATTCTAGCAGGAGAGGATTAGATAAGGTTCCTAACACAGAGGTCAAAACTAGAAGAAGTCGGAGCGCACACACAGTCGGAAGGCAGTGAATTCCAGTCTTCAATGGCTCTTACAAAAAAGGAGTACTTGAATGTGTTATTTTTAGGAGCATATGGTCTTACAGTTTTTGAATGATTTAACCTTGCTGAGCGCTGAGGAGGTGGCAGAATGTACAATTCTTTATTTAAACCAGATTCATTGTTGTATAGTTTATAAAAGAAGACTAACCTTGCAATTCTTCGCCTACATTCCAGTGGTTCCAGCTCACATTTATTTAATATTTCAGAAACGGAGGAGAGGCGCCTAAAGTCTGAAAAAATGAACCGTGCGCTTAGCCGCTGAATCCTTTCCACTTTATCTATGTCTTTCTTTAAATATGGGTCCCACGCAAGGGATGCGTATTCTAGCACTGGTCGAACTAGGGTTTTATAGGCTGCAAGTTTAACTTTCCAATCACATGACCTCAGCTTCCTTCTTAAGAAGCATAGCTTCTTGTAGGCCTTGGCGCAAACGTTGTCGATGTGAGCGTCCCAGCTAAGTTTCGTATTAATGGTCAATCCCAAATATTTTACGGTATTAACAAATTCAATACTTTGGTTACGGACATGGTATATATATTTAAGAGGCATTTTCTTGTGTGTTACTGTAAGAGCGCAAGTTTTTGAGTAGTTAACAACCATCTGCCACCTCTCACACTGGTCAGCAATTTTGCACAAGTTGTCGTTAAGCAATGATTGATGCAAGGGGCTACTGACAGTTGTATAAATAACACAGTCGTCTGCAAACATTTTCACAGTCACTCCCGCGTCAATATCATCGCAAATATCATTCAGAACAAGAGTGGTCCCAAGACGGACCCCTGGGGCACTCCTGACAATACATCAAGGTTTTGTGATTGCCAGCCGCTAATTTCTACAAACTGCGTTCTGTTTTTCAGATACGCAGAAATCCAGTCCACGAGGCGGGGAGCAATCCCTACACGCTGCATTTTTCGTATCAGTAAAGAGTGTGGTACCCTATCAAAGGCTTTTGATAGGTCCAAAATATTGCGTTTATTTGTTTTCTGTCATTGATAGCATCAGCGAAGTCGTGTATGAGTGATACGAGCTGGGTCGTCGTTGATAACTTTTTTCTAAACCCGTGCTGGAAGCTGCTTAATATGTTTTTTGATTCCAAGAACGAAGTTATCTGGCTGGAGAGGATGTGTTCAAGTAGTTTACAGCAACTACTGATTAATGATATTGGCCTGAAGTTCGAAGCGAGCAGTTTGCTTCCATCCTTGTGGACTGGGACAATTTTTCCACAGAACCAATCAGTAGGTAGGCATCCGTCATCCAAAGATTTATTGAACAAAATATATAAGTAATGTGAAATAATATCCGCATAACGCTTCAAAAAGGCATTAGGGATACCGTCAGGGCCAGAAGACTTCTTGGTGTCAAGTTTTAGAAGAAGGCGGATACCATTTACATTTAAATCTATATCCAGCATTACGTTGGGCGAGAGAGGAGATGGTTCCGTCGGATTATTGGTTCAACTCTGTTGACTGAACACAGTGTGGAATGTTCTGTTTAGCTCATTAGCAATTGCGTAAGGATCAGTAACTGCGCAGCCGTCAACGCGAAGCTGTTCAACAGATTTTTTGTTTCCGGACAAGTATCCCCAAAACTTTTGCGGAGCATTTTCCATGAAGTTAACAAGTGTCGTTCCAAAAAAATAATCTCGAGCGGTCCGTATTTTGTGCTTCAGTGTTACTGAGAGGGAAGATATGGCCTGGTTATCTTTACGCGCTGCTTTACGTTTTCTTGATATTGTTCTTTTCAATTGTATTATATCGCGTGTTATCCAGGGGTTGCACCGTTTCTTTTTCTGAAATTTCGGTACGAATTTATCAAGACACGATGCAGTAACGTTTTTAAACGTATTCCACAGACTTAATACGTCTCCTCCTGCCTCAAAGTCACCGAAGCACAAACCAAGTTTATCTATAATAGCTTCGTCATCCGCAGCAGAAAAATTAAAGACACTCTTGCTCGCAGAATTCTTTTTGTCAGGGCAGAAATTCGCGGTAAGTAAAACCAGCTTTTGATCAGAGATTCCATCATAAACACTGGCCTTAGTGTCATCTAGAAAGTTTCCAAGAAATAGAAGATCTTGTACACTTTCAGTGCTTCGAGCAACTCTGGTAGCATCTTTAACAAGTTGAACGAGATTAAAGTTCAGCATCAATTCAAGCAACAAGTTACAGTTCGCTACGTCTGTTGAACCTGGGTGAAGAGTGTTCCAATCAATTGATGGTAGGTTGAAGTCCCCCGCTAATATGACTTTTTGATTAGGCTTGCACTTCTGCTGCATGTAAGACTGAATGTTTTCCAAAAACGACTCCGGCGAAGAAGGGGGCCGGTAGACTACACCTACGAGAGCCGAGTGCCCACGAAAATCAATTTGACACCATACACTTTCATTGTCGATTATTTCGTCCATAGTTATGAAAGTGATTTCCTGTTTGACCACCAAAGCAACGCCTCCTCCTCTGCAGCCTCGATCACGTCTAACCATTTTATGAGTTGGAGGAACTATTTCAGAATCTAGAATGTCCGCAGTTAGCCAGGTCTCCGTAATTGCTATGATTTGGGGATCATAGGTAAATATGATTTCTTCAAGCTCGTGAACTTTATTGACAATGCTCCTAAAATTAAGGAGAACAACTCGCAATTGTTTGTGATCGAGTCATTCGTCGAGGTTACGTTGCGGGCGGATACGTTTCAGGCAATCCTTCTGCTCATCCCATTTGTATATATCATCGTCCACTCTCAGTTTATCGTAATCGAGCGATACTTTGCGACCTTGCACCCTAAAATCATTCGAATGAGACCAGAGTTTCCTGCGCTTTGCTATAGTGGCCTTGCAGAAGTCATGGTTTACCGAGATTTTTGTTCCTTTCAGTTTGTGACAGTTTTTTAACACTTTAAGCTTCTCGTTGTAGTGAAAAAAATTCATTATTACCGGTCGCACTTTATCGTGGCATTTTTTCCCAACCCTATGTACTCTTTCCACGGAGTTAACAACCACTCCGAGTTTATTCCCTATCAGTTCCTCGATTATCTTCTTTCTTAGTTCTGTAGCATTTTCACGATCCGGTTCAGGAAAACCAAAAATAACAAGATTGCGGCATCTGCTTCCAGCTTCTAAATCATCCAGACGCCTTTGATGTAGTTGAAGATTGCCTTTCAACGCTGTAACTTCAGTCTGCAGTGCCTTGATCTCTACTTTCTGTTCTTTTATTGCTACCATAACATTGTCCATTCGGGCATTAACCGTAGATTCTAGCTTAACGTGAGCAGTAGCTAAATTTTCGATTTTTGTTTTCAATTCTTCCTGGGAAGCAAGCATAGTGTTCATCATTTTTATGAGATCGTCTGTATCAGGCCCGGGATTCTGCTCAACATCCCCCGCAAGAAGAATCAAAATGACCGTCCATGTGTCCACAAAAAGACATGCACAAGTCGCCGGGCACGGCAGAACCACAATTCCTCTACAATCGCTACGAAAGCTGGTATAAGAGTGTTTGCCACCAACCTGGGCGAAAAACACAGAAGGGTATAGCGATGTTGCCATTGCGGTCCCGCCGTGCCCTCTGAAGAAGTCGTTGATGCGGTTGTTTTTATATGCTTGAGCAGGACGCGTTGTTTCCAAGAAGTTGGATTCCGGTGACGTCATGTGCTGCGTCCACGGGATTGGCCAGTCGGAGTTCACTGTTGGTAGATCTAGGCTGCTGTTGTCATTCTTCGATGTGAATGACACGGGCTGAGCAAGGGCGCACAGCGTAACCTGGGCGAAAAATACAGAAGGGTATAGCAATGTTGCCATTGCGGTCCCGCTGTGCCCTCTGAAGAAGTCGTTGATGCGGTTGTTTTTATATGCTTGAGCAGGACGCGTTGTTTCCAAGAAGTTGGATTCCGGTGACGTCATGTGCTGCGTCCACAAGATTGGCCAGTCTGAGTTCACTGTTGGTAGATCCAGGCTGCTGTTGTCATTCTTCGGTGTGAATGACACGTGCTGAGCAAGGGCGCACAGGGTAACCTGGGCGAAAAATACAGAAGGGTATAGCGATGTTGCCATTGCGGTCCCGCCGTGCCCTCTGTGACTCACAGTTGCACTGTGAGTGACCACATTTTTGTAAGGTGCCGCTGTAGGATCCTGCTTGTGGACAGTCAGGTGTACTAAACGCATGCAAGAACTTGACACAACACCGCATGGGAGTAGGTCCCATTTCACTGTCCTCGGGCTCTGTGCAAGAAATCACTTGTAATAGGGTTAAAGGTGCCTTAGAGAAGCTGCGTTTCAAATTCATTCAGCTTATTCTAGGCTTGGACTGGGGGATGAAGACATATATTGATTGATAGATTGAAATAACTTTATATTAACTTATTTTTTTAGTTGCCTTTGGAAGTGAGTGTTCTGGTTTAGAGAGCTCCAATGATAAACACGTTGAAGCAGAGATCACCATGCGAAAACCTCTTGAACAATGCTGATGAATGCGTTCAGTTTATACAATTGGTAATGATGATGGACAATGACAATAGACACATTGAAGCAGAGCTGTGGGAAATCAAATGTGCCTTGAATGGGGATGACGATTGAGATGATCAAAGCATTGAACACAAGAATAGTGTTGAATGGGATTGATAGTGAAGGTCAGAGCATACTACAGTGTTCGTGGTCACATGGACATCTATTTTAGCTTGAGCTTGTATCACTTACTCCGTTTCACTTTTTCTAAGATGATAAAATAATGCAAGAGAAAATTCTAACTGCAGGCTAAATAAAACTATTTTTGCCTGTTTTCATTGTATTTTATTGTATTTCTATATTATTGTGTTATTGTATTTTTTATATTTCGGTGGATTAGACATTAAAACAAGTACTGCTTTTTTTTTCAATGTAGCATTGATGGCATCAGACTTTAGTGTTTCAGCTTATGTATTGGTATTGTAGCTTCTGTGGCAACCTGTGAACTGCATACAGGAACTCTGTATCGCTTTTGTAGTGATTTGTTTGACTCTTTTTATTACATTTAGGAGCGGCACAGTGACATCCTTTCTTTTCCTGCTTGATGAGATATTCCTAAATAAAGTTTGGTTTTTTGCAGGACTCCTGGTCCTTCAAGTCCCAGTCTGCATGCTCTCGGGGCCCTACCCCAAACATCCTGCAGTACTGCAGAAATCGCCAGGTGATGGCTCTGCAGTTGCTCACTTGGGCAAGGAAGGCCACACGGCCTATGAAAATTTGCATACGTTTTTTATGATCTCATTTCTTACCTTTATTTATTTAAATACAGACCTTCTAGCAGGATCTTGTGTGGGTGACATGTGATGCATAAGCAAGATATTCACTTGTTCTTTGTGATGATAACTTGATGTTTAGGCTACTCTACTATTACATTGTCAGATGTAGCAGCATAACCAGGACAAGTGCCAAAACCTTGCAGTGTTCAACTTTTATGTCACGACGCCTGGTGTACGCATCTGGAGGAATGACTCTGAAACTTCCTGTGAAACTTCCCGCGCTACCTTGATAAATAATTCAGTGCGAAATGTGCCACTGGGAATAGTTCTATGCAGTTCATTTGCTTACTTGTCATTAATTGCCAGTAGTGGTGGTTTAACCAGAAGTCTGGCTGTCTGACATTTCGTGATGCACTACAAAACGCTTTTTGATGTGTACTGTGGTTCCCTGCACGGTAAAACGCCTCTACTGCAATGTGCTCAAGACCTGACACGGTGGCTTAATGGTAATGGTGCTTGACTGAAGGGAAAACGAACCGTGGCAGCATTTTCGATGGAGGCAAAAGTGCTTGAGGACTACTTAGATTCAGGTGCATCATAAATAAACTCGTGGTCGAAATTTCTGATTCCTTCTGCTATGGCATCTCTCATAGTCATATCGTGGTTTTGGGGTGCTAAACCCCAAATATAATTACTGTCATCACAAAGTGCTTGAGGCCTTGTAAACAGTTGAACACAGTAACGCTCGCACTATAGCTAGCACATCCATGGAGTCCTCCGTTATATGTACTGTTCAGAAGCGTTCGCTGTAGAGGCATTTGGCTGTATCAGGTTTACAGTGGCGGCTTTGTGCCTGATCACGCTCGGTAGTAAATGTGAAGCATTTGCCGAATAATGAAAAGTTGCCCTCCCTCTGTGAATGTAAACCTGGTGCAGCTGTGGGGCGACCAGCGGCAGCAGCTCCCTCAGGAGCCCCGCTGCTTCCGCCTGGAGGACCTGGTTTCCCAGGAGGTTCTACGCAGTGGGTGAGATTGTGATCTCTGCTCAACGCAGCTTGGCTGCTAACGAGGCTTGCTTCAAGTGTTCATGCCCGCGCGTAATGAAACAAAGAGGATGGCTGTGTGCTGCGCTGCGCAGCATTTACTCTCTCCTGTGCGTCCGGTTGTTGATGTGCCATCCACTCTCTAGTATCCACTGGCTATACTACAGTTGACCTGGAGTCGTGCGTGTGCTCCTTCCGTCACAGCCTTTGTAGAGCCCATGAATACAATGGACCAGTTTTATGCAGGCATGATGTTGCACTCTGAATGAGGGTGACACAAGCCTACTTCTGCATACAGTGTATAATTCAAAGCAGCTGCATGTACTCGGGCACTTCTGTCTAATTATATTTTCTGGCGATAAGAAATGGTCAGGGCAGTAGAGGCACATGTAGGGACAACATGGCCTTTCCTCTGCATGCAAATGCTTCAAAGAAACGTGTTGAATTATTCGTGACAGCAGTTTGTTGTCAGATGCATTGTGCTTCAAGCTTTGTGTCGCAGCAAGTTTCTGTGACATATTTTTTCTTGTTTTCCTTTCATTTTCATATCATTTTTTCATTTTTCATTCATTTTTATGAATGGACTGCATGTGTTTGGGACTTCTTGAACAGTGTTGAGAGAGACAGCACTCACACATTATTGCATTGTGCGCTATCTTGCAAGTTTGAGACTATGGGCTCTTTGCATGCTGTTTCACCAATTTCCTGTTGATGAGAAATTGTGGGCGAAGTGGCAGAAAAAGGTTTCCTAGACAGATCTCAAGATAAAGGACAAGTCTATTCTCACATTTTTGTTTGCAGGAAGATTTAGCTTTTGAGTGATGATGTTGGTTAACTGTCAGTTAATTAGCTCCTATCTTATGCTCCAGTGTCTTATGTTTATGATATAACTCTTCACTTAATCCTTTTTCTGAATATTTGAAAACTGGAAGTGCTCAATTGGAAGTTCTTGGAAGAGAGACAGTGTCTATCTTCCGCACCAATAACATGTGAGAGCACAGACTCTAGTCTAGGCTAAAGAGCAGATGGGGGAAGGTGATGTTACAATAAGCCCAGGGCATGGAACCAATGCCTTGTGCCTAAGAAAGTCGGTAATTGCACGAGTAGCTTGCATAATAATGAGGATGCAGAGAATGGTAATATTTGTGCTACTTAAATTTCACATTTTGCATGCACCCCCAGACTTACCAACCGTTTGTCGCACTACGTCCACCATGAATCTTCACCAACTAGCCCAGTGTGCGGTTCTGTTATGCTAATATATTCAGCTATTCACTTGTTGTTCTAGCTAGTACGTATTTGCAGGAGTGCATGCTGGCCTGCAATGAAATGCATTTCTTGGACCACACAGTACAGTAAGACCTGATTGGCTGCTGCAGGACCGTGTTTCTTGGCTTTCTGCCCGGGGCACAGTGGGTATTATCCTACATAGCCGAGACTGACCCGCAGCATGAACTGCCTCCGCTCTACCTCTACCGGCTCCAGTGGTGGTCGTTCGTGCCCGGTCAGCCCCTGCATCTGGTGAGCTTGTCTCTCTGGGAAGGGGTGACCTAGTCTAGTAGGACCTCCCTAGAGGCGCTTTTAAATTTATAGCAGGCAGATTTGTTACCAACACTTGGAAACCTGTCTTTCTTTTTCAGATGCCTTAGACAAACAGTGACACACTCGACCTCATACCTTGTAACAAATTTTCACAGAAACTACTATAGCATTTAAAAATAGCTTTTCTCCCAAAGCTATATCAGATTGGAATAGATTTCTAAGTTCAGTAATTATGCTGCCAAATTTCGTTTCCTCTCTGGAAGAGAATATTTTTTTGTTGATTTAATGTTTTCTTTGTGCTGGTGTTGTTTGAGTTCCCTTTATTTGAGCATTAATCTTATGCAGCTATTGTCTTTTGTTATTGTTGAACCTTTATTGCGCTGTATTAGTTTTTGATTTCACCTTTGCATGTCCTAAGCTATCCTTCCATTTCATTATTTTATATTGAGAGCTGTTATGAAATCGCAGCAAGGGACGTTTTCGGTGTCGTAGTTCTCTGCCGCCACTGCCAGTATTTGTAATCGCTGTTGCTCTAAATATGGAAAAAGAAAACTAAATAAAAATTATGTCCGGTGAAGGATGAGATTTGAACCGGGGTCCGCCGCATGGCAGCTCAGTATTCTACCACTAAGCCACACCGATGCTTGAAAATGCATTGCAAACGGACCCTACATGCGCTTCATGTAGATAATAGAGCGTTTCAAATGAGTGAAATCACAACCTGCTGTTGCACAATATGAATTGCATAACGAGTGTGTTGTTGAATGCTTCCAACCCATGACAAAAGACTCTACCATAATTCGATATCATCATCAGCTGCAGCATAAACAAGAAGGAAGTGTTTAATGAGCAGAAGGAGGAGAGGTAAGCCTGGAAAGCGGGTTGCTAGCCTGCTACTCCTCACGGGGGTAAGGATAAAAGGGAGAGAGAGAGAGAGAAAAAAAAGGAGCATCAACGAAGTGTACGTTATGCCTTGTGGGAATCGAGGCTAGCCTGCCGCCTCTTTCTGTGTTCTCATGTCCCGACATGACTCTCCTCCTTCGCTGTCTGCCACGCTGGGGGAGCGAAAAGTGACGTTTCGCCCCTTTCACCCGGTAGCGGATGTCGACTGTGGTGCCGCACGCAAAGTCTCCCAAGATGTTTTGCGCACGCGCATCGGAAGCGAGTCAGACCTTTCCGGAACGACTGAGGGTGAGCACGCATCTTTTTTCCGTCCGTCGACTACTATTGTTTGGGGTTCATCGAACTTCACCAACGAGCCCCAAACACGCCGACGCTCACTTTTTGTTGCCCCTTGCGAACGTCAGACCTGAAAAGCGGTGCGGTGTCCTAGTGTGTGGTCAAACTGTGCCAACCCGTATCTCTCCGAAGCCAACCTGAGCGCCTTTGTCCCGGTGGTGTCTCTGTAAATCACTTTTACCACGGAGACGTGATCGTGGCACCCCTGTATTGTACTTCTCGCCCGTGGCGTGGATGAGCCCATTTGCTTTCCCGTCGCACTTTGCATCACGTGCGTATTCGCTCAACGAAGGTGTAGTAGTCGGTAGTAGGGTGTCCAGTGGTAAGGTCGAATTACGGCCATAGAGCATATAAAAAGGTGAATAACCTGCTGTATCATGACGAGATGAATTATAGGCGAACGTCATGTGAGGTACTGCTAGATCCCAGTCATGGTGGTCAGATGAGACATACATCGAGAACATGTCCGTGAGGGTGCGATTTCGGCGCTCGGTAAGGCCATTTGTTTGGGGATGGTAGGAAGTGGTCAGTTTCTGTTGCGTTGAGGAAGAGCGCAAAAGGTCCTCGAGTACGCGTGACAGAAAAGCGCGTCCACGATCGGTGAGCAATTGCCGGGGAGTGCCATGATGTAGAATTGCATCGTGGAGCAAGAAGTCGGCAACGCCAGTAGCAGTGCTGGAGGGGAGCGCTCTGGTGATGGCAAACCTGGTCGCATGGCCTATAGCAACAGCGACCCACTTGTTCCCAGAGATTGATTCAGGGAACGGTCCGAGGAGGTCTACACTGAGTGTTCATTTAATTGAAAGGTAATGGAAACAATGCAGTTAAACTGCACTCATACAGTTTCATATTATTACGTAAAATGAGATAGGACGTGACTATTTGGCAGTGTATTTACACCGATAAAATCGGAGCGCAGCACACAGAGCGAGCAAACCAGTCCTCTTCGTCATCTTCTGATAGCAGAATGGTTCACCCTTCATGCGATAGCTATGTAGCATTACCCCCCGGTTGTGAAAGCACCGACTCGGTGCACTTTATACGTGTTCTTCAGAAGCAGGGCGGTATGGTTTCAACCTACTGACGGGGACTACGTCACTGGGGGTGCAGACAGGTTAGTCCCGGAGACTGGAATGACCTTATTGGTAACGTCCGTTACCCGTCGTATGATACGGTAAGGTCCCTTGTACGGAGATAGCAACTTCTCTGACAATATAACACGACGAACTGGGTACCAGAGAAGAACTAGAGAACCAGGTGAGAAGTCAACGTCGACGTGCTTGCTGTCGTAGAAAGCCTTCTGGGTTGCTTGTGAAGCCAACAGCCTAGAGCGGGCAATCTGACGTGCTTGGTCGGCACGAGCGATAGCATCACATGCATATTCGCTCAACGGAGGTGTAGTACTCGGTAGTAGGGTGTCCAGTGGTAAGGTCGGATTACGGCCATAGAGCATATAATAAGGTAAATAACCTGCGGTATAATGACGAGATGAATTATAGGCGAACGTCACGTGAGGTGGCGCTAGATCCCAGTCATGGTGGTCAGATGAGACATGCATAGAGAACATGTCCGTGAGGGTGTGATTTCGGCGTTCGGTAAGGCCATTTGTTTGGGGATGGTAGGAAGTGGTCAGTTTCTGTTGCGTTGAGGAAGAGCGCAAAAGGTCCTCGAGTACGCGTGACAGAAAAGCGCGTCCACGATCGGTGAGCAATTGCCGGGGAGTGCCATGATGTAGAATTGCATCGTGGAGCAAGAAGTCGGCAACGCCAGTAGCAGTGCTGGTGGGGAGCGCTCTGGTGATGGCAAACCTGGTCGCATGGCCTATAGCAACAGCAACCCACTTGTTCCCAGAGATTGATTCAGGGAACGGTCCGAGGAGGTCTACACCAACACGGAAGAAAGGTTCGGTAGGGATGGAGATCGGGTGAAGGAGTCCAGTAGGGGGTGCGGCAGGTCATTTCCGAAGTTGGCATTTATCGCAGAAGGCCACGTAGCGTCGAACTGACCGCGCAAGACCACGCCAAAAGAAGCGGCGCCGGACGCGGTCGTACGTGCTAGATAGACCCAAGTAGTCGGCAGTTGGTTCGTCGTGAAGCTCATGCAGGACTGCTGCATGAGGCACGACTAGAAGTAGCTCAGGGCCATCTGGCTGGACGTTACGACGGTACAGCGTGCGATTTAGGAGAACGAACATGCGGAGTGACACGTCGTTAGGGTCAGATTTCATAAGGGCAATGAGTGACCACAAGGAAGGATCGCGACGCTGTTCGTCACCAATCTGACGAAACCTAGACATGGACATGATGCTGGGGCCGGGCTCGCCGGCCGATTCATCTGGTTGGTCAACAAGGTAGCGGGACAAGCAATTGGCGTCCAGATGGAGGCGTCCAGACTTGTAGGCAACCAAGTAGGAGTACTCCTGAAGATGCAACGCCCAACGACAGTCGTCCAGAAGGGTCCTTCAGTGAAGAAAGCCAGCAGAGGGCGTGATGATGTGTGACGACAAGGAACGGGCAGCCATACAAGAAGGGACAAAATTTCGAAACTGCCCAGACAAGAGCAAGGCATTCTAGTTCTGTTATAGAGTAGTTACGCTCCGACGTTAAAAGGAGACGACTTGCGTATGCAATTACACGATCAGTGCCCCGCTGAGTTTGGGCCAAAACTGCGCCGATGGCGTGACTGCTAGCGTCTGTCCGTACTTCTGTTGGAGCATTTGGGTTGAAATGTGCAAGTATCGGTGGTGCCGTCAGAGCGGTGATTAGTCGAGAGAAAGCGTTAGCTTGAAGAGGACCCCAACAAAATGGGATGTCGTGTTTGAGAAGGTCTGTGAGTGGGCGTGCGAGTGTCGCAAAGTCTTTTACGAACCGGCGAAAGTAAGAGCACAGGCCCACGAAACTGCGAGCATCATGGATAGAGTGCGGAATGGGAAACTTCGTTACAGCGCGTACTTTAGCCAAGTCTAGTCGTACACCAGAAGCGTCAGCAAGGTCGCCCAACACAGTAATTTGATGAAGACCAAGCGGCACTTCGAGGAATTCAGCTGGACCGGCATGTCGGAATGTTGATAGAATGGTCGAAAGGCGTTCAAGGTGTGTAACGATGTAGTCTCCGTCAGGAACTGGAGGGGTCGATGACAGAAAGACGTATGTCACAGCTCGAGGCGGCAAGCGAACAAAAGTGGTTGGACCCAAGTGGCTGACAGGTTTTTCACAGGCATCACAGAGCAGGGGAAGGTTGAGGCGGAGCGTGCCAGAAGAACAGTCAATTAAAGCCGAGTGTGCCAAGAAGAAATCAAGGCCTAGTATGAGGTCATGGGGGCAACGATCTAGAACGGCAAAAAGGACTACGGTGTGACGACCAGCATTGTTGACACGTGCAGTGCACATTCCGCCGACTTCTACAGCGCCGCCATCGGCAACACGTATGGCTTGAGTCGTAGAGGGTGTCGTGATCTTCTGCAAACGGTGGCGTAGATGTGCGCTTATAGTAGATAGTTGGGCGCCTGTGTCAACAAGGGCAGTAACAGGAACATTGTCGACTTTTACTTCAATAAAACTGTGGTGTGTGGGCAGCGTCAGTAGAGGGTTTCTGAGTGTCATTGGTATTGCAGCTTCACCTCCATAAGCCGCAATATCTAGTTTTCCTGCTGCGATCGTCCAGAGAAGCTCGATGAGGAAAAGCGCCGAGGCGGCAGAGAACGGGATTGGCGGCAACGGGGAGCGGGAGTAGCAGCGACCGAAAGAAAGGGCGTCAGTGGGGAGAGGATTCTGAGGAGGTGGCGAGTAAAAGTTTGACAGTGTAGCGGCTGGACGTCCAGAAGTGGTAGGGCGCATATAATTAGGGTACCTCTGACGTGGTGGGTTGGACCAGCGGCGACGGCAATAACGATAAATATGTCCAAGTTGAAGACAGGAAAAGCAGATTGGCTGGTCGTCAGGGGTTCGCCATTGCGCAAGGTTTCGGAAGGTCAATGATGGAGGAGATCGACAAGCGTTACTACTTGAGGGGTATGGGCGACTTCGGGGTGAGTCACGGGAAACGCTGACGGAAGACCGAGATTAGCGAACTCCTGCCTTATCACAGCTTGAATTAAGGCTACTGATGGGTGTGATGGGTCAGTGGCTTGAGTTGTATAAACAGGCTGTTGAGTGGGAGCTGGACATGCAGCTTCAAGCTCCTGACGAACAATTCGGGTGACGTGGTCATATGTGGGTGGTTGGCGAGCGGCTTCACACGATGAAGTTGCGGCCGTGTTGGGCAGTCATGTGAATCTCTGCATGATACGGCGGCTCTTGGCGTGTTAAAACTGCCGGCACTTTTTGATGATTTTGTCGATGGTGGTAACGCTACTGTATACAAGCAGGTGGAAGGCATCGTCGGCGATGCCTTTAAGCACATTCGATACCTTCTCAGACTCGGGCATGTGTTCGTCAACCTGGCGGGAAAGGGCGATGCATTGTGAATATACGCGACGTAGGATTCGGTAGACGTCTGTGTCCGAGTAGCCAACTGATTTCGCGCAGTTATATGTTGTGCAGCGGTGTTCCCAAAAAGGTCACGGATCTTCTCCTTGAAAGTGTCCAGCTGGTAATGTCGGCTTCGTGCGTCTCGAACCACACCCGCGGAGGGCCATCAAGGTAAAAAAGTACGTTTGCAAGCATGAGTGTTGGGTCTCACCTATAGCTGGCGCTGATCCGTTCATACACGTTGAGCCACTTGTCAACGTCAAGGCCATCCTGTCCGGAAAATACGCCAGGATCACGAGCAGGAGGTAGGACAACGTAGGTAGGAGTCACAGAAGAGGCGGGTGGTGAATATGATGTACCTTGAACCTGTGACATAGTAGGACTTGTGATGATGCAGCTGCTGGGAGCTTTGTGATGGGTACAGGGAAGGACCAGCACGTTCACCACAAATATGTTACGTAAAATGAGACGTGACGTTACTATTTGGCAGTGTGTTTACACCGATAAAATTGGAGCGCAGCACACAGAGCGAGTAAACCAGTCCTGTTCGTCGTCTTCTGATCACAGAATGGTTCACCCTTCATGCGATAGCTATGCACCAATATGCAGCAGTGCAGTATGATTTTGAGGCATTGGAAAAAAACGGAAAAAAAACATTTTTAATTTACTTGACATTTAGTGCTAATGCACCCTACACACTGGAGCTAGGAAACATGTACAGTGCAGTCCACTTATAACGATACCACATATAACGATATATCGGTTATAACGATGGGTCGACTTAACAGTCTCATTTTATGCATTGGGGCTATGGGGGAAAAAAACCATATATAACGATATGTTATCCACCGCATATCGGATACAACGATGAAAAGTTTGCCGTGGACGGCATGTTTCATTCAGAATAATCGTAACATTTAGATTGATAAGTTCCTCTGAAACGAACTATGCCGAGACAAGACGAAAAGTTAGCGTAGGCGAGTACGTATCTGCCGCCACTGCAGCACAGCGCCGGCAGCGCGTCCCGGCCGTTCAAAAAGCCGAGGAGAGCATCGCGAGTTGGCGCGACGCGCTACAGATGGCGCCAGCTGTGTCACGTTTTGCGCCTCGCCGCGCGTCGACCGCGGAGAGGCTGAGAGAATTTAAAAAAAAATGCGAAAAGCAAAGTGCCGCGCTCCGCGGCTCCCCGCCTTCTACAACGGCAAGCTACTCGTAGATTGCCGAACGAAAGCGGGAAAGAGAGAGAAAATAAAAAAAGCGAAAAGCAAAGCGGCGCGGCGGCATCGGGGCGGGGCCTCGTTGGCATTCCGGCTGTGTACCTCTGGCTGTGCTTTCTTCCTCCCACTGCTCCCACCCCGCCGTCGGTCAGTCTCTCTTCCTCAGCGAACCCGTGATGCGTTCTTCGAAGTAAGAAATAAAGTCTTGTTTTTGACATCCTACTATCTACAATATTTATTAATTGGTGAAAATAGCGAAATGAAGCCTGGAGCTACAAAAGGTACGTCCGGCGACGATTTTTTGGCGGCAGTCCAGATATAACGATCACCGGTTATAACGATCATATTTTTAGGTTTTCTCGATATCGTTATAAGTGGACTGCACTGTATAAAATATTTTAGCCCAAACTTAAGCTTTTCTTCTATCGGCATCTAAATGCAGATGAGTCAACACAGTCACTGAAATTGCTGTTGGAACAACTGTAGGTGAATTCGCTTATCATTGTTTGTGTGCGCCGCCGTGTGCAAGTGACGCAGACGACAGAAGTGTGGCTAGTACATCACAAGTTTCCGTCCCCTCATCACTTATACCTACACCAAATGTGTCACTGTGAAGCTGCTTCCTTGATACCAATAGCGAAAGCATCATATTTTAAAGCATCTATTTAAAACATGTTTAATGGATTCCGAGACGCTGTGATACTCTTCTTAGGTTTTTACTTAGAGGGAAGATGCAAAAAATTTCTCAAATTAATGTCAGTGCCCGAAAGAGTTTGAAGGCCTAATTTTTTGCCAAATGTGACAGGGTTGATTTTTTTGTGCTGATTTAAATTCTTTGAATAAATCTTTTTTTAACGATAACCACAAAGTAACAAAATATTATTAACAAGAGGTTGTATATTTGTAAGTTAGCATTTTTGAAAGGGTGTCACAGGAGTAGGGTGTAGGGAATTGCACACCGGCATGTGTGGGTTGTTGCCACAAAAATGTGTGGTGTCAAACATGGCGTGGTCGAAATTTTCAGAGCCCTCCACTATGGCGTCTCTCATAATCAAATCAAGGTTTTGAAATGTAAAACACTAAAGATTGTTATTATGTTTTACTGGAAAAAAATACCGGATCAACTATTTTTTTTTTTCCTGGACGTAATGAAAAGTCATCGCTCGCAGTACAGTCATGGTTGTGTTTCAATCGGGTAAATACAGTATCTTTGTGCACACACCAAGGCCCCAAGCGCACGCAATGAAATGTGATTGCTCTCTCCCGGTTGGTGCATGCTAGTGCTGCAGCTATGCAACAGACCATAGATTGTAGTACCCAGTATGTGGCGGGACCCCATGTGGCCAGAAGCGTGTCTGAACTAAACACTGCTCCGCTGATTTATGCCAGCTATCGGCCAGTAGGAATAATCCGTTGCATGACAAACAATTTGCTCTACGATAGCACTCTGTAGTGAGTAGTACTATTTGGGCCTCCAAATGAACTCACGGCAATTTATGTATTTTAAAATGTTTCGTTGTTCGCAGTTTGCTGTTAATGGCGGGGTTATTTGCGAGGCGGGTTGTAGGCGAGAAAATGCGGTATCAACACAGCCCTTCTCCTCGCACTGCTCTCTCCCTCAAATTCATGCAGAAAAGTCCCCTTCTGTGAGAAAAAGGAAACTTCTTAAGTCATTTCGCACAACCCAATGTTCAATAAATCGAGTGTTCAAACCATTTTTCGCTTGTAAATTTTCCTATGCATTTACGTGATCGATTTTCTTATGCATTTATGTTAAAGCATTTCATAATGGAAAATAGTTGGATGTGAGGAGTAATTTTATTCAGCTGAGCTCAACAGAGTCAGGTTTGGTTGTACTACTTTTAAAATGAGTTTGCATTAACTAGGTTTCATTGTAGAGATATGGAAAGACATGTTGGAAGGATGTCCTGATTTTCTACTCACCGTGCCTGCAAACTGACCGTACTGTGCAGGTGCGCGAAACAGCGCTGTTCGGTGGGGTAGGTGTGGAGCCCGAGTTGGAGATCGTCTTTTCGCAGTGGTCATGCGACCCCACGTGCGTCCTCGTTGCTGGCCACTCCTGGTGAGCTCATATTTTAAAGCCTATTAGCTGTAATGTGCTGGTCTGTTTGGCTCTGAGCCATGTCTGAAAGGCTGCTTGTAATGTTGTGAAAGCCTACTCACGAATAGTGCAGATATGGAGCATTGCCTTTGCAAAATGTGACACTCGAAACCAGGTGCATGCAACCCCACAAGCCTGCAAAAACAGACAAATTTCAATGCAAAAACTTCAAAAAAGGTGAGCTGTCATTACCACTTGCTGGAGGTGACACTGTGCCCAGAATGTGATGTAGCAGTGTGGATCCTTGATATAGCCTCTAAGATTGCTGGGCAGTGCATCCAGCCTGACATGGCCTCTAAGATTTCTGGGCAGTGCATCGAGCAAGTGGTAATATATTGGAGGAAGTGCACGAGTTTGGTTTTTTGGTGCATTGTTTTGACAAACTGCCGCACAATAAGCTCACTGATGAAACGAAAACGGCGACAACGAGCACTTGACGCGCAGTAACATTAATTGGAAAAAATCGCACACCGTCAAATTCCCAGCAAGTGCCCCATTTTCCTTTTCAGGTGATTTGAAATATGTATCACAGTACATTGCAAGGCATATTGTATGTTTCTTTTGGGCAGCTGTTTATGTGTTTCTCTAAAGTGAATCGTCGGTGAGCATAAAAAAATTAGTTCTAAAACAAGCATGTAAAAAAGGGTTGGTTTGAGAGAGTTCTTTTTGCTCTTAAGAACATAGCACTTTTGGTGAGGAAAATTGGGAGCAATTTACCATAATTGTGCGTTTTTATAAATTTAGACCTGCTCGATATCTTTGAAAGTGCAGTAAATATGGAGCAGCCTTAATTGCCATCGTGACACTGTTAGTGTGAACGGAAATCATGAGATGTATTTCTTTGATTATGTAAATGAAAAAAGCTTCACATTGGGTGCATACCAGGGGCATAGCCAGAGGAGTGTTTTGAGGGGTTCGAACCCTCTTTGACATGTTGTATGTATATGTGAACACACGCGCATAAACACTTGTGCAAACATGCACAAAAGAGGGTCGGACCCCCTCCCCTGAAAACATTTCTGCCGACACTTTTGGTGCATACAAGCAGCTTACGTAATGCAAGCTGGTTGGTCCGTAATGATGCACAAGGGCTGGCTGTTTGTGCAGATGCCTGATATATGAGAACTGCAAACCTCTTTTTGGTTAATTGGTTTAGTTTTGCAATGCCATTGCATGTAAAAAGAAACATGCGAAATGTCACTGACCACAAATGTACACTGAATGTATTTTAGGCGATTTTTTGCAGCTGGTTTGTGCATGCAAATCTAGATGGCACCACAACGCCGTGGACATCTCCTTACCGTGGCTGTCTTCTTGCCGTGGCCTTCTACAGCACTGCTCGATAACCGCTTCGCGTTGTCTGCTCAGCGTCCCTGTAACGTCTGCGCGCACAAAAGTAAAAGTGAAGCAGACGCTATGGGGACGCCGAGCAGATGACGCGATGGGGATGTTCAGCAGTGCTGCAAGAACGCCATGGCTAGAAGACGGCTATGGTAAGGGAAGTCAACATGGCAGCACCCATAAGTGCAGTAACCTTTCGCCTCGATCTTATCATGTCGTCGTTTCGCACTGTGTGGCACGTAAGTTCGTTTCGCACTGTGTGGCACATAAGAGGAATGCATGCACTGGGTGCTCACAATCTCCTCTGCCAAGATTTGCAATGCTACACGCTCTGGAAAGATGTTAAATGTCAGGCTGAACGTCACTTGACCTTCATGTCACTGGTGTGCACGCCAACATGGAGGAGGTGATGTATGCCACAAGGAATGGTCCTGTGTACGTCAAGGTAGTACGTGACACTGCGAGAAATATTCAAGGCGACGTGTGTAATTTGTTCAATCTGTTGCCTGAATAGAAGTATGAAGGTTGACAGAAATATTAAAACATACAAATGGAATCTATGCGCATTATTACAATATTTTCACTTCGTATCAAGCGAGATGCAAGATTAAGCTGCTTCCATTTCGTTTGCATTGGTGTGCTCGCAATTCTCGCGAGACATATTATAGACATACCATAGAGAGCTTTGTGTGAGGGCTTCGTTACTTCAGTAGTTTCATTAATATTTATATGCGAATATTGTATTCATTAATTCAGTTTCTCACAATGAGGTGGCAATTGTTGCGTCGAAGAAGTGAAAAGAGTGGAACATGGACAAAACAGTCCTTATTTTTGTGTAATTTGTTATAGGATCTCCTAAGAGCAAGATAGATTCACCTGTATTGGCTAGCTGCCCTTCTGCATAAATAAGCCAACACCAAAAGAGAAGCCTTGATAAGTGATAAAAGACACCGACTGTCTGTTCACGCCAGATTGCCACAGCATTTTGGATTGCTGTGGCTTTCCTTGGACTACACGATGGCATCGTATTCCAAAGGATCCCAAAACTGAACGAGTTTCGACAACTTGAATTGAACTGTGCTCGTATGGGGTTGCTGGAGCTTTTAGTACAAAAGAAATACCTCGGCATTCAGTCTTTTGTGATGCAAAGTAATAACTTGCTGCAGTGTACCGCCGCGTCAGTGTAGGCATGACAACGACTTGTGGTATGTGTCCCTGGTCGGCATGCCCGGGAGGAGCGAGGACATTCTGCACGCCACATACCAGTGTCCATCGGGGGCCCAGGCCCTACCCCGACTGCTGTGTAAGGGCCTTCTCTTCCTCCCCGTTGGCCCGGACCTGATGCTGCTCAAGACAGATCAGGTACCATTATTCACATGGGTATAAACTAGACAAATAAATATACACTTATCTGTGTATGAGTCACAGTAGCATTGTGCTGCTCACGATAACCATATTTTAACATGGGCTGAGTACAAAAAATTGCGGGCGATTCCTCTCTGGGAAAGTGGGTGGCCAGCAATCTGTTGAGTAGGCTTGCGCAAATAGTGAATTTTAAATTCGAAGCAACTTCAAAGCGGATAATGATTTTAGGCAAACAATTTTCAGATCGAATTCATATAATATATTATGTAATATTATGAAAAATTGGCATATTTGTCATCATCCATCTAACCTGCACAATAGTTTTTACAAATTGAAACAACGCCTGTGTGAATGCCAATCTTTGGTTCAAAAGAAGTGAAAACAACTTTGAATAGCAGCTAGATTTGACTTCTGGTTGAATGCTAGTGATAACCTGTAAAATAGGTTATGGTTTAAAATTCACTATACTTAGAGTATGTAAGCTGGTTTAACAATTGTCCACTTAAAAATTGATGAATCGGTGTGAGGGTAACCTGTTCATTTAATATTGAAGTGGGGCTTTGTAGCGTGCAGATTTTTTTTTATAGATGTTTTCAGGGTTTAGCATTCCTTCACATCAGTGAAACCACTTTTACAAGAAGTTGCATGCGTACTAATATAGATCATTTTCACGAGAAGGCTGCCCATTTTTTCAGCCGCAGTGCCATCTTGTGCCTGGCATGTTTCACCGCCGTGTCAGTGTGTGGGGATCTGTGGCCGTGTATGCAGCGTATCCGCTCAGTGTGCCAAGCACTGCTGTTCTTTGCGCTACACGGCCAAAGCACGGCAACGCTTCATTGGTGTAAAGGCAATAGCAACTACTCGCTAAGCTGTCAGCTTCAAAATTGCTGACCAGTTGCGTACCAACTCTTTTGCGAGAGGGGAAGGGGGGGGGGGCAGGTTAGCACCTCTTCAGTGCAGTGAAACCACTTTTGCAGGAAGTTACATGTGGGTTGCAAACACGTATTCATTCATTTTGAAAACTTCGAAATTCTCAACAATTTGAATTTTATTCAAAGGAATTTTCATTACAGTAATATTTGTTTGAATATTTAAAGAGTTTGAATATTCCCACAAGTATATTTAGCACATGGCACGTAAGATGACGTTACGGGAGCCAGTTATGTAATGAAGGCCAATTTTGTATCAAGGCTCCAACAGAGTCTGCTGTGAAACATTGATCGTAACACTATCATTGAGGTGCACATACAGCAGTATTTGCTGGCCACGCTCGTCCACATGACCGTCTGCCTCTGAATGTGTAATCTTGTCTGGTTTGGCACACGCACTTCACATTTTGTAATGTTCTTCATTTATGTTTGCCGCCTGCTGGTAACGTTGATATTCTCCAAGTTTATTTCTCATAGGCACATTGATTTGGGGAGTCACCGTAGCTGCTGTAAAAGATAAATAAAATATGTCACTTGGCGGCTGCTGATCTTATTTATTTCGTTGTGCTCCAGCATGGACGACTCCTTCTAGTGGAGCTTGTTACAAGTTGCACATTTTGGCAACATCATACGTGAAGAACCCGGCGCTGTGCTATTACGGAAGTGCGATGCCTTCTTTTTATGCGATGTTTTGCACTAATTCTTACTCTCACGACCATCGGCTTGTCGTTGATCAACCATTTCTGATGCGGCATTCTGATCCTACATCGAGTCACTTGTCATCGTATTTTGGCACATTTTATTTTAATTGCCTAGTTAGTAATGCATGACCTCACGATCGGGCACCGGAACACGAGTCAGTAGGCACGACGCCGTAGGCGTACCTTCACGTTGCACCCACTACCACTCATAGCCGTTTTTCCTTTGTTAGTGAAGGGAATTGCCCGTGGTCAAAAGAAAGAAAAAAAGAGAGAAAGAAAGAAAGAAAGGCGTAGGCTCGGCAGTGAATCTTGGCATGTGTGGGCAGAATCTATGTGCATGTGATGTGCCTCATGCCCTGCCGCAGTGGTCTAGTGGCTTAAGTAGTCAGCTGCTGACCTGCAGGTCACGGGATCGAATTTCGGCTGCGGTGGCTGCATTTTTCATGTGGGCAAAAATTCTGTAGGCCCACGTGCTCACATTTGGGTGCACGTAAAAAATCTCAGGTGGTCGAAATTTCCGCAGCTCTCCGCTATAGCGTCTCTCATAGAAAATGGTAATATTGGGATGTTAAACACCACATATCAATGTCACATGCCTCAACTGTGTCCTGCCTTGTCTGATTCTTATTATTAAACAATGCAGCAGTTTCCTGAAACAGAGGTTTGCATTGGCATTTTCTGCAGTAGATTATCACTTGTGTTTCAACCACACTCAATCGCATGGCATGTCTATCACTTTGCGTTGAGGAGAAATTGAATTTCTAAATGGCCCGTTCCCCCCTTTCTGTTGCTTATCCACCCTGCATCCCGTGCCTTAAGTGTATATTTTGTCTGTGCATATTGCCACGTTCCATTTCTCAAGTTTTTGTTATCGTCCCAAACCACCACACGATTCTCAGCGCAAACCGCGCCTGCAGTTTTTCGAGAGGGTTCCGGACTGTAGTAGATCATTTCGATAAGATCACGCCCACTGTGCGAATGGTACAGATTGTTCTGGAACGTATGCCGCCGCCAGCGGTAGCGCTAGAACATTCGACGGCGGGAGTATAAATGCCAACGCGCTTCGCCGCTTGTCAGTTGTTGAACGAAGGCCGACGCTCTGTTCGCCGCTATCAGTCCGAGACTGCTATCTGTGCAAGACTACTGTTGTAATTGGCTTTCCGTTTACCGGGCACAGGTTCGCCCAAATAAACAGTTAAATCCCAACACGAAGTCTTCTGTCTTCGGCCACGTCACGACCCCGTGACATCTGGTGGAGGTGCTGCTTCGTTCATGTACCGGACGCCCCCGTCAAGCCGTGAACCCAGCCCACGTCGCGGAGAAGACACCGACGCCAACCAGGAGCAGCGAACAAGTCGCCGACAGCAAGGGCTACCACCGGAGTACGGCCTTCTACAAGACAAGGCGCGGAAGACCAAGGCCATGACCGCGACTGCAGCGACAATGACAACCGCAGCGTCCCAGCCCACGATGGTGATGCATCAACCCAGGGAACCACCAATTTTCCATGGGTCATCGTTCAAAGACCCGGAGTCCTGGCTGGAAACATACGACCGTGTGGCCGCCCTCAACCACTGGGACCATGAAGAAAAGCTGCGTCGTGTGTTCTTCTATTTGGAAGACACCGCAAGGACCTGGTTCGAAAATCGGGAGTCCACGCTCCGAACGTGGGATGTTTTCTGCGGCGCATTCCTGCAAACGTTCGCGAGCGTCGCTCGCAAAGAGAGGGCCGCTGCTCTACTAGAGACCCGGGTACAGCTACCAATCGAAAAGGTTGGAATTTTTACAGAGGAGATGACCCGCCTATTTCGTCACCCTGACCCAGACATGCCTGAGGAGAAGAAAGTTCGTTTCCTCATGCGAGGGGTCAAACAGGAGCTCTTCGCGGGACTAATGAGGAATCCACCGAACACCATCCAAGAATTTGTATCCGAGGCGACCACCATCGAAAAAACTCTGGACATGCGCACCAGACAATATAATCGTCGCCTGACTCCAGAATGCGCTGCTGCTCAAGCCAGTGACTCCGACGACCTGCGTGAAACGATCCGAGCGATCGTGCGGGAAGAGCTGCGCAAACTGTTGCCTTCGGCGCAACTTCAAGTGGATTCGATCGCCGACATTGTGCGAGAAGAAGTCCGGCAATCGCTTCAAATTTCCCACGCACCACTGCCCGAGCCGGAAGCTATGAGCTACGCCGCTGCACTGCGCCACAACGCTCCTCCCCGTCCATGCCAAAACGCCGCCCCATCGCACTTCCGTCGACAGACGCCACCGCCGCCACCACCCCCACCGACGTCATACCGTTCGCCAGTGGCTCAGCGCAGTGCACCGAGGAAGACTGACGTCTGGCGCACCCCTGACCATCGCCCGCTCTGCTACCACTGCGGCGAGGCCGGACACACATACCGCCGTTGCCAGTACCGACAGATGGGATTGCGTGGCTTCGCCGTCAATGCACCGCGCCCACAGCCAGGAGAACGACCACGTGACATCGCCGACTACCTGACAGGAACTCGGTGGACACCACGAAGCCCTTCGCGTTCGCCGTCGCCCAGCCGCCGCACGTCACCGCACCACCGACAGTACTCTGGCCCAACGCGGGGCCGGTCTCCTAGCCCGTATCCGGGAAACTAAGGGCAGGAACCGGTGGAGGTGCGGTTGCTGTGCGACGAACTACCGAAGATCCTCCGACGACGACGCCGTCGCGACGGAGCTTTCCGAACACAAGGCCAACCAGGCAAAGCCCTGATGGCGAAAGCTCACTTACCGAAGGTGGCCTGACGACGAAACATGCAAGCAGCAGAACAAGCCGACGCAGCCGTGACCCGACGCCACGCCCTAACTGTAATGCGAGACGGCAAACTAGCGACCTCGACGTTCTTATCGACGGCCACAGTGTGACCGCTCTTGTCGATACTGGAGCCGACTATTCTGTCATCAGTGGGTCGTTCGCCGCGAAGTTAAAGAAAGTTAGGACAGCTTGGAAAGGCCCTGAAATCCGCACAGCCGGAGGTCATCTCGTAACGCCTGCAGGAATCTGCACAGCGAGAGTCACCATTAACGGCCGTATTTATCCAACAGACTTCGTAGTCCTACAGTGTTGCTCGAGAGATGTCATCCTTGGCATGGACTTCTTATGCCTCCATGGTGCTGTCATCAACCTAAAAACAAAGTCGATAACGTTATCCACAGAAGAAGCACTACCGCCGCGCACGCCGTCTGGACACCATGCCTTGAATATGCTGGAAGAACAAGTCACCATTCCGCCTCGCTCAAGCGTCATTATTTCAGTCGGCGCTCCTGAATCACCTGACTTCGAAGGCGTCGTTGAAGGCAATCAGCATCTGTTGGTCACCCGAAATAT